AGGTTTCTGAATACAGGGGAAAAACGTTAAGCACACTTGCTATTTGTAAATGTATATATGGATTGCATTTAGTTGTATGATTAACATCAGATTTGGGCATATAGAAAGATTGCTACCAAAAGTGCTAAAAGTCTGATAAAGTCCTTAACATTTAGTTTCAGCAAAAAGGAAAAAGCCTGACAAACTGGCCTGGTTTTCTTTCCACGAAGAGGGGAGTGGAAAGAAATTTTTGTTCATTAAAATCCCTGAATGTGTATTTTTATTGTGATAATTAGTCTGAGCCCAGTAGAATATTTCCAAAAGAACTGTTCATGCACCTAAATAGTGCTTACAGTAAAATGGAAATTCAATTACTTTGAATGAAATGAAAAATCTCTGCAGGTATATGCTGTCAGACATTTGAAATAGCTTAACTTTTCAAGAAGAGGATTTCTTTCAGTTACAAAAAGCCAAACATCTATGAACTAGAATCATGGACAACTTGGCCTTACAAAGGTGAGTAGGAGGAAAAATATGTTTCTTAGAATATTTTTAAAAGGTGAATTATGGCTCATTACCTGAAGTTTCTTATCATCTCATAATAAAAGATGTTAATTCTGCATGTTGTTGAAGTAGCCAACTAAAAGCAGTGTTAAAGTCTATCAAGATCAGACTCCCGCTGAAAGTTCGAATACCTGGCTGTCTCCCTGCTGAGGTTTGCTTTGAGGAATTAAGCAGCGGGGAAAATGCAGCTATTGTTCCTTTTTTCTGCTGACGGAGTACACATAACAGGGTAAGAGCAGAACCTTTTAAATGTTTCTCTGTTATCATTTCTTCTCTCCGTTTAGTAGTTCAAATACAGAAAATCTCAAGTGATTGGCTTAGCAAGGTAAAAAAAAAAAAAAAAAAGGCACCTGTCTTCCTTCTTGCTATAAGCTGGGAAATATTTCGATTTTAATTTCATTAGAAATTGTGCGTGCACTGTTTTGTGAGGCTATGTTTTTGAATTTGGACATTGATGTTAGATATTTGCATCTTACAGTCAATTAAATTCAGACAAGAAAATAGGAATTTTAACCTATTCAATTTGATTTTCACTGCTGTATGAACTCAATTTGTTCCATATGCCTAAATAATCTTAGAATTATGTATGATGTACACAATTTTTCACACACCAGATCTAGTATTGTAAATGCAGTTTACAATAATTACATTGTAAACTGTATTTGGAGTATTTTAAGTTCAATACCACACTTCTTAAAAAGTATTGTGTTCTTTAAATTGTTATGTAGATCAGTGTCCTTTATACTGTAAAACACTACTATGCAACAAACATTGTCCAATGACTAATCTAAATAAGTTCTAGTCAGATTAGGTTTATAAGGTAGATTTAACTGTAATTTCAGATGCTATTATTGACATCATGTATTATTGGTGTAATGTAGTTTTTTGGTGATGATTTCAAACAGCGATATTTTGCTATGCATTGCCAGACATAAGCAGTCATTGTTTTAATGAATGGAAACTGGTGAGAAACGTATTCCCAGTATATTAATGGAATATACTATCTGCAGCCCAAGTACATATCTATAGACTTATAGTACATAATATTCTGGCTGGCCTGAATCTTGTTCAGAGCAGCAATTAATGCATGTTATTAATTTGCTTAGTGATGATTTGCAGTGGAACCTCAGAATACAAATGAAGTGAAATGTACTAGTATTTTGTTCCCTCATTGAAAATAGCACATCAACTACACCCGGCCAAAACACGATCAGTCCTCAGATTCATAATTTTCAAAATAATAGTTATTATTCTGATGTTATAAGACTGGTAGACATAAGTATGTGAAATAATGAATGCAGTTTTTTTCCCTTTTGATATAAAAACCATTATATCAGAGTGGTTTTAGTAATAATGCAAAGAACTTGCATTATTATTTAAGTAAAGTCGTCATGGTATGTTCAGCATCCTTGAGGATAGGACACTGGGTCCAAACTAAACAAGAAATTTTGGCATCACTGGCTTTCCACAGTAACTGCCTAGAAGCATTGGCAGAAATTGTCACAATTTACGTTAAAAAGAAATCAGTTAATTGATACTTCCTTCAGCCTTCTCTACAACATGTTTGGAAATTGTTAATGGCATTGTGTACATAGTTATGCTGGATTAGCAGCTTCTTTTTTTTTTTGGTTGATCCTGTGCACTGAAGGTTTGCAGTCTGGCGTTTTTATATTTCTTTTGGATTAATAAGTTTCTTCTTGGTGAGTGGCAAGGAGAGGATTAACCATAGAAGGAGCCATGAAGCCCATGGTAACTATGGAGGAGCTGCAGAGATCCACAGCTCAGGTGGGAGAACCTGTGAGGACCACTTTCAGAGTTGATGGGGAGTCAGATTCAGCTCAATGCAGGGCAATCAGCAACAACTGATAAACAGATAAAATACACTGAAGTGTATGATTTTAATGTTGGATAAAAAGCCCTTAGGGTAAATAATTTTGCAAAACAATGTACACTCCTTGCATATTGAATTCTTCGTTATTGCTTTTAACAGAATTTGCCTTTTTTTTACATGAAAAAAAATACAAAAAATAAAACATTTAATGTCAAATGAAAATTGATTTCTACAAAATATTGATAAAAAATATTTAAAATGAAAAAAAAAAATGAGTGCATAAATATTCACCCCTTTAAAGGGACTGACCTAATTCATCAGAGGTCCAGTGAGTTGGTGCTTGTAGTCTCACAATCACTGGAATGGAGATCTCTTGAGTTCAGTGAATGAGTCTCAAAAAAACACCTGTTTTTCCAATGTCCTTTTACTGATTAATCTGTAAGAACATTTGTTCTTTCTGCTTAGCTGCTATTACAGCATGAAGACAAAGAACACTCCAAGTAAATCAGTGAAAAGGTTATTGGAAAGTATAAGTCAGGGGATGGATACAAAAAATCTCTAAGGTACTGAACATCCCGTGGAGTTCAGTTAAATCCATCTTCCAGAAATGGAACAAACATTGCCCATGTATAGATCAGGCTGGAGGACAATTTGTTTCCATCTGCAAGAGAACTATGGCTTCAGAGAACATTTATTTTACAACAAGACAATGGCTGAAGCGTCCAGCTAACGTTACACAAAAATGGTTTGAAGACAACTAGGTGGATGTTGTGAAGTGGCCCAGTCAAAGCGCAGACATCAATCCTATACAGAATTTTTGGCAGAACTTGAAATGGGTGAAATGGCTGTCGAACCTGACAGACTGTGCTGTAATTGCAACCATCTGCTGACTACTTATTTGAAGGGGGTTATTTTATGTTACATATTTTTTTTATTAAATATGTTATATAAAATCATTCTTAACTGTTGTTTTCAATAATTACGCATTTTGAATTTCTCACTTCTGTGCTCGTGTAGCTTTTTTCCCACAATTTGATTTTTCTTTTTGCTTAATTATGTAGATGAACTTATCAGGTCGTAACATGAATTTATGACTACTTCATGTAACAACAATAAACAAAACTCAATTTGAAAGTGAAATAATTATAGCATAATGTTACAAGACACTTCCTTTCTTATTTTCATGATTTAATAATATTAATAAAATGGTAAATGTGGACCATATTTACAACTAGAAGTTAGTATTTTAAGACTATTTATGAATAAACCTCAAATTTTTTGGTTAGTTAAATGCAAAAGCTTTTAAGCTGCAAGGCTTCTCAGGTCATCTCCTCCTGTCTTTATCATCTGTGGTGTGGACAGCGATGAGTAAGAAAACTGACATAAATTTAAGATTTTATTACTTCTGTATTAGGTCAAGTTAACTAGGTATGATGCCATCTGCATTCTCTAACTGTTCTGTATTAACCCATGTTTCTGTCAGATGAGGAGTAAAGAATTGCTGTGATGCATCTTCAATCAATTTGACTTATAATGTGGTATTACTGTCTAACACTTTTAACTAATAGGAACTAGTCTTGGTTATTATATGACAAGAATGTGTATGGAAACAAAATTGTTTCCTATTGCCAGAAGTTATTGATGATTTATGCATCTTCAGAAATATGAGATCAAACACCAATCAGCACTTCACGGTTTGCAAAAAAAAAAAAAAAAACACCAAAGGATACTTTCATTAAGGGAAGACGTTGCCTGTCAAAAATGTTTTGATTCCCTCTTTTTTTTTCTAGTTTCTGATGACACTTAAACCACAGAAGAAATCATTTGCAATAACACTTTAGGGCTCAATATGTACTTTGTTCATTAGAGTATCTTCCTTCAAAAACAAAGCCAAATTAAATGTTTGTGTTTATATTTTTCTGGTTCTCACATTTTTATGAGTTAGCTTGTGCCTGATGTTTATGTGTTCTATGATGGTGTTGTGAGTCTGAACATGTTTGAAACACCCAAATGTATTTTTCTTTGAAGTGAGAGAAAAGTGAATTAGTTTGACTATCAGGGTGCAGAAAGACGGAGGAGAGGCAGCACTGGAAATAGATCTGAAATCTCATTAAAGGAGCTCCAAAACCAGTGTATGATGGAAAGATTTTGCCATTTTGTAATGTTACATTTTTTAAGTCTTGGTATGTACAGGACTTGGATATTGGGAGATGATAAGTCATTGTACTGTAAGGGGAATTTTTTGCATCTGACTTGGATCAAACTATAAAATACATTTTTACTAGATTTTTTTTTTACCTTTAGTTTTACTATGTATCCAACTCATTAGTAATTTAACCTGGTTCAATGCTTCCTTCAACCATAACTACCTACTTTTGTCTCCAACTAAGACTTTACAAGAACAGTTTTCATACCGTTTCCCTCAGATGAATTTACGTCACGCTTTGGAATCAAGGGGTGTTTGTTTAACATTTCTCTAAGTGTGATTCACACACTTAGAGAAATGCAAGGCTTCTCAGGTCATCTCCTCCTGAGAAGCCTTAACAGTAATTGTGATAAGACGACATTTAACAGTAATTTAACAGCAATTGTGATAAGACGACATTACGTTTGATTTGTTTTCCAGATGCCAACAGTTCCGCAGTGTGAACCGATTGGAAGTCCGCCTGCTTTTCCGGGCCCCATCATGCTTTCTCCAGCGTCGTTGCCTCCTAGTGGAGCTCCTTTCTTACATGCAGAGTTTGACGCTGCACATCAAGTAGGAGGCAAGTTGTATTCATATATTCTCTGTTGTTTAGAATTAAGCATTTTATTACCCCTGGATACACTGGTGATCTACATATGCTGCTATTCTGTAAACCTTTTGTCTACATTTGTTCTTTCTGCGTATATTGATAATTATTAAGTGGAAACAATAACGGTTTCCTTTTTTACCACAGGAAATTTCGAAGCTCCAGTGGAGTCCACTGAAGGTCCTACTGGAGGTAAAGATCCCTCCTCAGCTGACAACCAGCTGGGATCTCCAGCAGGACAGGTTATGATGCTGCCAAACCCTGCGGCCATGCATGGTCCCCCCAGACCAGGAATGCATGGTCCCCCCATACCAGGAATGCATGGTCCCCCCACACCGGGAATGCAGGGTCCTCCCAGAATGGGAATGCAGGGTCCCCCCAGACCGGGAATGCCACCTCTGCAGCCTCCCCTTGGCATGCCAAACCCTCATATGCCTCCGTTTCCTGGTCCACCAAACATGCACCGCATGCCCACGCAAATGATGCCAGGAGGGCCGATGTTTCCGCCAGATAGATTCAGAATGCCCATGCCCTTCCCTCCTCGGGGCCCTCCTTTCCAACGACATCCATCAATGGGACCAGGCATTAGACCAGGATTTGGACGCCCACCATTTCAAAGAGGGAGGTGGTAGAGAATAGTTTAATGATTAAACTAAAGCAGAGCCTGTAAAACAACTCTTGAGCACCAGGTGGCGCTGTATCCTCTGTTCAGACTTGCCCCCTCTCTCTGTTTCCAGCACTAACAATAAAACACCGCGTCCCTAAGCTGCTCCTGTAAGTTTTATCAGAGATGTTTCTTGTTTGGTTGGTTTTAGCTTTTTGCTGTATATACTGAACATGTGTGTATATATTCATTTTTTTGTATATTTCAGTTTGTATATGCTCAGCTCTGTTGACAGGACTTAGACATACATGTTTTGAACAGTCAGTTTTTCTCTTCTGAAGAGAAAATGTCCTATCCGTTTTTTTTGTTTTGTTTTTTTTTTATTTTAGAAACTGATATATTTCATTGTAAAATAATAATTTAAAAAAAACATGTTTTTTGAAGCTTTCATTTTCCAGCCAGTAGAGGATGGAATAAACTCAAATACTTTTTGAAACCTCTATGATGCACTGAGGTCACAACTTGTAAAAATATGGACTATGAATAAAAAATATCCACCATTTGCTAATGTTTTTTTTTTGTGTGTGTTTGCAGTTCTAACTCTATTTACCTTTTTCTATTAAACAGGTCAGTTCTGAAAAGGGGTAAAGAGGTTGTTTTTTTTGTTTTGTTTGTTTTATCTATAGGTGCATGCAGTATGCTACAAAAATAAATTAATTGCAATTATATATAAATAAGTATATAACTGCAAAAATAATTCATTCTCAATACAAACAGAAACATGTGAACTCTGTAGAGTTTAACCTACAAGAGAAAACTGGATCACAAAAGTTAACACAAGCATGAGGAAGACTGGTAACTTTAACACTTTCAAGTAGTAGACCTAATTATGAAAGTTATCATTTCATAGAGGGCTGTATGATATTACATATTAAACAGAAGTTGAGCAGAAAGAAAAAGTGTTTTAGAAAAAAAACTGCACATGCAGTTGAATATCTGCCTTAAAAATACTGTGAAACTAAACACATTTAAAAAAGTTTTTGCAGGCATTCCCACAGGGTGTATTGTTGTTAGAGGCAGTTCTTCAAGAGTTGTTTCCAGGACATTCTCTCATAATCCTCTTAACATGGATATCAATATCAGCATGTGCAGCCTTTTTGCCACTTTTCTTCCCTGACCTTAACTTTACCGATCAAAATTTTCACAGAAATCAAAATAAAAGATATCACTTTGTGGAAAACATCTGTATAAGTTGTGCTTTTTTAAATTGGATTACTGACGTCATTTTAATCTCTGGTAATATTAAGATTTATGGAGATGAACTTGAGCATTATTATATTTTGAAATTGTGATCTACGTTTTGTATAGGCTGCCAGTAATATGGGGTTGTGGTGAATCAGCTTTTCCCCTCTCTTTTGTTATGCTCAGTGTCAAATTTCCTCTTGCATTTATAAAATGAAAAGAAGCTGAAAGGACGCCTACTAATATACATTTGAATCAACCTTTTTTTTTTTTTTTTTTTTTTTTTTTTAAATTATAGCCAGAATTTCTAAAAGCAGAAATGTTGCACTTTCATCTTGAAAAACATTATACCCACACCTAAAGGGACGCAAACAGCAGTAGGTGATTTGCATGGACTGGCATCTGATTGGCTCAAAGAGTAAGTTAGTGGCATTGTCATGATCCAGTTGCGCGCCGTCTCCAAGGGTCGTGGGCTCCGCCTCTCTCAATGATGTGGAAACAACACGCATGGTCCGTGGACGCACACAGACCTTGGAGGAGCGGCGGCGGCGCAGATCAAACCGGCATGAGGGAGAATGGATACTGTAAAAAGGCAGCCATGTCCCAGAGGAGGTGAAGACAGGTACGTCAACATGTGAGCGGGACCGGGACGTATGCTGTCCTTTATTAATGAGGGGGAGGAAAATATAAGCTCGGTGACCGTCCGATCATGCGTCTGCGTGGTCCCATCGCCGCGTGCACGCATGAGCGCGTCACTCAGTCATACAAGTTTACTGGAGGCGAGACGCTGGCGCACTGAAGTGCGATGCGGTGCGGTCCAGTGGGCAAGCCGACAGGATGCGCTTTTTACCCTCAGGGTGCGCAGCGTTTGGCGTCCAATGGGGCCGATCCAGTCACCGTCGGTTGTTTTGGGGGAGCAACAGCGGGCATGTGCCCGAATGGCGAGACACGTCAGGTTTAACGCATCCATGTCCAGACATATGAATTTCAATTCTGCTGCATGATTGGAGAGCGTTTGCTAGAGATGCAGGTAAGGCAGCAGCATTACTTCCGTCCAGGTCCCCAAAACATCTTCTACCTCTCATGATCTATTGCGGTAAAATTCTGGCTTGATCATTTGGCTTTTTTTTTCTTTTTCTTTTTTTTTTTTTTTTAGCGCGTTTCTTGTTGCTTTGCTGTTAACCCGGTGCTGCCCGTATTGAACATTCATAAATACAGGTGAGTCATGTGGAAGGTGGTGCTGTTGCTTTACTCCAGTGACCTTATGGTGTCATGCATTGTTGCAGCGTCACCGCTACAATCCGCTGTTTGCGGTATCCTCTTCTCATTTTTTCTTCTTCTGTATATTACAGAGACGTGCTCCACAACATGTTGTGAGCTATTTCAGCAAAATGCAGTCTAATCATGATATTTGTTCATTGCAAGTCTGTTTAGGACCAGTTTAAATGCATTTCCTGTTACTGCCATGCAGTTCAGTCTGCTAAGAGAAATACAGCTTTTGCACTGAAGACAACCTCACTCTTTGCTGGGGGCCAGTTTCTCTCTCAGCAGCTTGTATTTATGGTGAGCCAACACAAGCATGACCCACAAATTCAGGGTAGTGTTTTAAATCTGCTGCAGAATGCAGTTTCACTCCTCCAGAATTGTGTCTGGTTTAAGAATGCTGTTTTAGTTGCAGCAATACTTGAAAAGTGAATTGAGCTGGTTGTTGCAGCAGTGCCTCTTCTGTCGGCAGTGCTATTCAACTTAAACACTCAAAGTTTAACAGAGGTGACGCATCAGATATTTGCTTATAATTGTTTTGGGGAAGCAACCTGTTCACCAGTTTTATAATGATATGACGTAATATATTTTATGTACTGGCTTTTTAAAGAGTGGAGCCCCTGAGATAGTAATCATCATCCTATACAAATTCTCCATCAGTGCCAGATTTTTATTATAAAGAAAGATACATTTGTAATAGAGTACATTATCAGTGTGTTGGTGACGGAACATCCCTGAATGTTGATCTGTTCAGTGAGATGTTGTAGATTCAGGGACGTCGCTTCTAATGAATTCAAGTTTTCCCTATGGATACATTTCAGTGTTTTAGAGAATTTTAAAATGAGTCCCCCAAGGCTCAATATTTTCATTTTATATTAATAATCTTGGGACTAATAGTTAGTTTTACAGATTACACTATTCTTTACTCTGTTCTGTTCTGAAATATTGACATGTTTCAAACTACTTTTACAGACACAGGAACCCTAAAAAGTGCATTTTAAGCTAACTCAATGTTGTTTTCCATGAATAACTCGCATATTTCAAATACTTTTGATATTTCTACCCTGGTGGGAGATTTTGTCAAGTTAATATGGTCCTACTAATATTTGGTTATTTGGCTAGACTATGAAAACTGAACATTTGGTTAAAAAGCAGAAGGTTAGATCGGGCTTTTGCTTTATGTGCATCTATGCTTTTTACATTTTACCGATTCAAATTGTAGGCCGTTTCTGGTTAAACAAGCAATAATAATACAAAATCGTGGTCTCGGAATTCATGCAAGGTTGAACAAAAACACTCAGCATTTGAAAGTGGAAAAGTGAGCAAGACCCCCCAAGCAGAATGACCTCAGTGTTCAGGGATGTGTCCTAAAGGTGGTAACATGAACCCATCTGTGTGACATGCCTGTTCAGAGAGCTGACCTTCTGTTTGTCCCTATTTGTGTGGTTGAGCAGCAGCCAGTTTTGCTCTTCTCTGGCTTGTGTTCATGCTCTGTAACTCTAAAGGATCTTCAATGTTCGACCAACTGTCTGCTCATGAAAGAATGTCTGCACATTCATATGGTAATTTGTCAGCTTTTCAGACAATCCGTGACTTTGTGCTTCATGTATGTGCTACCGAAACGGTGTTTTCTTGATATGTGCATAATCTAACCCTAGTAAGGGTTCTTGTGAATAATTCATTTTCATCCCACTGGCGCATAACTCTTCTTTCATTTGCAAAGTACATATTAATGACATTCTGATGTTATGTTTAGTGCCAAGTGAATAATAAATAAAGCATACTGTGATAACATTAATTCATTTGAATGTTTTGGTTCTTGTTTCCAGAAGCTTTAGAAGAATATTACTCTTAATATTGTTAACTTGTATTAGGCATTGACTGGCTACACTACAGTCAAACTCTACTTTGCCATGCAGTTACAATTGAACGTGTTTTTAATGTGATGCCAGAGAACATGCACGATTGATCAAAGGTTCCTCTGTTGATATGAAGCATAGAAAGATTCAGCCCTACCTCTCTCCCACCTATTGCTGGCTGACATAAAGGCATCATTTCTTTTACACTCAGTTACAATAGATACCGATTTAGCTATTTAGAAATATTTGAGTTGCACAAAATGCAGATTGTCAAATTTGGAAAATAAATACATTGCACACCAACAGTTACCCACGACAACAAATACGTCACAATTGTTTAAGATGCAACCCAAAGAGCCCAGTTGTTCCTTTTAGATCCTGATTTACATTTCTGTTTTAGACATTTATGTCAATACTTTGCAAATATTAATCTATTGGCCCATGCAAACAATTTGAGCCTTATGAGTATTTTATAATTTTTATTCTCATAGATTTAACAAAAATATTAATATTTGAATTATTCATGTTATTAATCATTCCACGTCAGATTTTTTAAAACCCACTCTATAACGTCTAATATTTTCTAAATAAATGAATTATTTACATCCTCATTACAAACACGCTGCATCAGGGTGCCACTACATTTTGAATGAACTTCTCTGCCTGTTTAAAATCCATTCTTTAAAGACCGGTTACCCCCAATTTTCTTACATGTTTAGCACATGATCACAATTTGTCTAGCTGTGTTTTTGATGACAAACAAGAAAGCTTTCCAATGCTGTTCTGCTTGCATCTAAGCTGTAGTCCGTAACAGAGAAGAGCTCAACCTTCCCCTGTTTTGCCTGACAGGATATCTGTCTTTGTTAGCAAATATCTCAGATGTGCTGCTCTCCTTTGGTCCTCTGCCATCTTTCTGCAGTTTAATAAAAGGAATTATCTACATTCAGTCTTGCGGTGTATGTCAAAGGTTATATGGGTTTGTTTTTTTTTGTTTTTTTTGTGCTTTCACTGCTAAACATTGGAAACCCCCCTTCTTCATAGCACACATATTGCTTAATATAAAGCCTTTATTTTTCTAAGAAGATGTTATCTTGCATCATAGTTTAGTTGATGGAATAGTAATGTGCTGACTGCCAACATTATCTGATAGATGGCTTGGCAAGATTCGTTTCCAGATGCTTTCCAGAGGCCAACAGTTTCCGCGCATCAGCACGACTTTGATGTATGCATTTAATGTTTGCAAAAAAAAAGTTGAGAAAGCAACATACGATCCAAAAGTAGTACTAAAGTAAATGCATCTGCGGCTCTTTGATCTTCCAGCTTGGATGATCATGAATTATTGAGCCAGAAATTATAATCAAAGTGTAAAAAAAAAAAAAGTAGCACGTTCTAGAAAGAAACAGGGATTGAGTTGTGTTTTGAGCTTTAAAGCCAGTTTTAAAGAGCTCTAACAGTATTTTGATAACTTACTGTGGGCTGGTATTCGAAATTAACCGTATATTGGACTGAAGTACCCTTCCCCAAACATTCTCATCTTTCTTTATGGGGATGAATAAATGTTCAGAAATCTCATCACATCTCAGTTTCACCTGTTCTGAAGCTGTGAGCAGAAACACAGGAGCTGCTGTCAAAAATGTGCATGGTGATGGTCTTCAGCTTCACATGGCAGATCCAGTCTTGTAGTTCCAGGATGAATAATGGATACTAAGTGCACAAAACTGCTGAGGCTATGAGTCACTTTGTGGAGACAGGAGTTAGGCTAACTTCCCCGCACCGCAACAGTCAGAAAAACAACTACAGTAAATTCATTCTAAGTACTTTTGTGTTGACCTGGAGCTAAACTGTTATTAAAGTAGCAAACTTAGAATAATTCCTCTTTAGAAGTGGAATCTTCACAGAGATTTTAAGTGTCTATGTGGTGGATTCAAGTGAGCATCAAAGCCAATTGAACTAAACCTGGTGGATATTCTTTCCATCACAAGATCAATGGATTCAATTCACATTCGTTTAGAAACTTTGGCACCAATATTGCTTAACATCTGGTTTACCCACCGCGACATCCTGCTGCAGCAAGAAAACAGAGTTTTTGTACTTCCAAACCTTCGGGGTGAACATTCAGATCTTTATGCTCATCTAATCCTGTCCTTGAAGAATCTATCTCTGACTATGTTAGTGTTCAACTGAAACAGAAAACCTTGTCTTAAAAAAACAACCCGTTTTAACTTGTTTTTGTGGAAAGATGACAGATGACCTACTTGGTTGTCTTTAGTTAAAGAAACTCTGATTATATCAACTTTTTGGAAGACTTAATTAATGTGTTTCATCATATAGGAATGATATTATTAAGTACTGATACATTTAGAGCAATTCAAAACATCCTAATCCAGTCCTGTTCTTACGCTGTGGTCAAGAAATGCTTAATGTAGCTGTTTTCTCCTGTTCACTTAAGGTAAATTATGGGCGGAGCGTTTTGTGTAACTATAGCAGACTAAATAAATCCACTTGCGATGTTGCACTTTAATATATTCAAAGCTTTCCTAATAAGTAACTCTGGAGAGCAGCCACCTATGCTAGTATAGGCTCAGTCTTGTCCAATGAATCTGAGCTTTTTTCTCTCTCTGAACTCTAAATTATTTTCCTCTCCCATACCCTCGTCTTTGATGTTGACTCTTGAGATTCTACTCTCAGCTGGAGACCACTGGATCATCCGCTAATGATCTCTACCCTGCACTGGTTACTTCTTTCATGTCTTGCACAGCACTTACATTTTTCTTTTTTCTTTTTTTTTTCTTCCACATATCAGTTGTGCTGGGTGCTGTTTGGCACAATGGATCATCTCTTTCCTCTGAGGAATATAGGTGTGGAAGAGAAGGATGCGTGCAAAATAACAACACTTGAACCTTCGTTCTCATGGATTTTATTTTCCCCCACCACTTGCAGAACTGAATTGTTGTCCTATCGTTGGCGATGACCTTTAGATTTGTGTAATAATTCTAAAATACATTTTTGCAGGGTTACTGTGACCTTATGAACTGAAATAAAACTTGTTTGTGATCAGCATTGTTTGAATTTACTGCATGGCATTCAAATTAATAG